GCAGCTTGACAAAGCCATGATGACAATTATTTTACATCTCAGTAGTATGAAGTTCTGCTGCTCAGTGGAACAGTGGTCAGCACTACTGCCTTGCAGCAAGAATGTTGCGGGTTCAATTTGCGGCCCGGGATCTTTCTGCATGGAGTTTGCATGTTCTCCCTGAGCTTGTTTGGGTTTTCTCCGGGTACTCCGGCTTCTCGAAATTCTCCTTAGGTGTGTGTGTGTGTGAATGGTTGTTTGTCGTGTGTCTCTGTGTTGCCCCAGTGATGGACTGGTAAACTCTCCAGGGTGGACCCTGCCTCTCGCCCGTAGACAGCTGAAGATAGGCACCAGCACCCCTCGCGACCCCACTTGGGATTAAAGATGTCAGAAAATGCATGAATGGATGGATAATATGCACTTATTCATATACAAACACACAGACACATCAATTTCAAACAGATAGTATCGGTATGGTATCGGCCAATACTGCACAGCCAGGTATCGGCCGAAAAAATGGTATTGGCACAACACAGTTTGTTCAGTTTGTTCTTATGACAGTGTAATGACAAAAAAGTTTTATTCTATTCAAGTTGACTTGTACCCACAATTCAGTGGTGGCCGCTGTTATTTAAAACCACTGCCTCAATCACTTGTTACCTTTATTATGATATGTATTTCCTAAAGTTGGCTGATCCACCTAGCTTTGCCTGCTTCATCCACAAAGGTGGCGATGTGGCTGGTGCCTATTTCCAGCAGTCTATGGGCGAAAGGCCTGGTTTCCCCCTGGACAGGTCGCCAGTCATTCACAGGGCAACGCAGAGACACAAAAACATCAACCAAGCACACACACACACACACACACACACACACACACCTAAACACACTTAAGAGCAGCCAATTAACAAAACAGTCATGTTTGTGGCCTGTGGGAGCTAGCACAAATGCTACAAAATGTGCCACCATTTACCTCATGGTGGTTGATATGAAATAATTTCGATATTGATATGTTATCCAGCAGTTCAATAAAGATCTCCTCACTCAGTCAGCTCAATATAAATAATTTATTAGTGGAGAAATATTGCACTGAAAGCCCTACAATTAGCACTATTTATCTACTCAAACAGCCTGAAACTTAAAAGATAAAAGAGAGACTGAAAAATAAATGAGAACAAAACAAAAGCAAATCAAATACCTCATTAAATATGCAGCCAATTTCAGTTAAGACTCAAAGAGTTTAGGTTAGTTAGTCCACCCTCACAGACAAGCTCCCAGATATTCTGCTCTATAGGGCATGCAAGACTGACCAGACTAAGAAAAAACAGCTTGAACTGCACAGGAAAATGGGACAGCAGGAAACAGCACATCTGAAAATGCAAAACATAGAAATCTAACTAATAACTAGACAGTCCCATTACACTGTTTATTTGAATAATTATTTAACCACAATATATATCAACCCATAAACTGTACCTGACACCTATGTCCAACTGATCAATGTAGAATTGCCTTAAAATCCTGTGTGGCCACACTGAAACATCTATAAATACAACATGTTTAAAAGGAGGTACCTGCATCAAGATTTAGAGACCAAACTGGAAGGCAGGTGATAGGGTTGTGTTTTTTTTCTGTTGCACTATGTTTGTTCAGTTTTGTAGACCTGCCACCAGAGGGCCTCCTAGAGGCAGGTTGCTGGGTTGTATGAGCATTCTTCTGCTGCACTATGTGTGCCTTCGATTTCAGAGGCTGCATCCCCCAAGTATCAGGTCTACCTGGACTGGATCCTTCGAGGTCCTTGAAATAAATAGGCCAGGGTCTCATGCAGATTTCCTCATTTAGTACTCATTTTATATGGCTTGCCATAGTAGGAGTGACTCTGGTTGACAGACTGAGATAACCAATCCCATATTAATCCATCAGTCCTTTGTGCCTTAATCTAATTAACCCCAGAAGTCACAGAACAATATAAATCAAGCAGAATCAAAGTAAGGCAGGTCTTACCATCTGCAAAGGTCTCCCTCAGGCAACATCACCAAGATTTAAAATCCACTAGACCTCCTCCTGCTTGCTGGAAAGTAACTTTCCCAATTTATTTCACTGTTGATTTGTTGTTAATTCTTAAGTCTTTTAGGTAGTATGTGCTACATTTAGGCTTCTATAAGTAGATTATTTCCTGTATTTATTACAAGGTTTTGGATATTTTATTTACCTCTAATCTTGCCCAGTTCACGCATGAAAGCGTGACTCTAACGTTAGTCTCATTGTGTGTTAGTGTGCCAGTTACACACTTGTTAATATCAACGTATACCCCCCAAAGCAGTGGTTTAAAAATTTCTAAATTGGTTTGAATAATCACGCTAAAAAAAAAAACTTATTTATTTTGCGCACTGGCAAAAACTTAAGAGAGTCAATTAGAAATGAAAAGTGGGAAATCACATCTTATTAATACATGAGATGTCCAGGAGAGTCAGGATGGTAATGAGGGAAGATTGGATGGAGAGTCCAGTATCGAGAAGGAAACTGTCACTGTAAGCTGCACATCTGTCAGCTGCATGTTTTAATACCACGTAGCTGTTGGCACTTCCTGAGTTACTGGTTGTACCACATTTGTGAACAGCACTTAATAAGTGCAAGAGGTTTAACCTGCAGTAGCGCATTCCGCTTAGAAGAAAAAACACTTTAAACTAGTGCTGTCAAAATTATCGCGTTATTAACGCGTTAACGCGAGGCCATTTTAACGGCGATAATTTTTTTAACGTGAGATTAACGCTATGTGGTTTTATGGTACAATTTTTCCAAGTACATCCCGCTGCAGCCTGCGGGAAGGCGGGGCTATTTTCCCCCAGTCTACGCATTTCTCATAGGCTTCTAGAGCGGAGCTCCTCAAGGGAAAAAGACGCTCATACACTGGGTGACGCTAGTGCCTTTTCTTTAAGCCCCACCACCAACAAACAAGTTGAGTGTCTGGTAACTAGTAGCAACCTGAAATACGCTGAGAAAACTGATTACTGAGGTGAAATGGAATCTCGTAGCAGCACTCTTGCCGTCTGTGTACGCAACAGGTCGGTATCGCGTGTGTGTGTGTGTGGGTGGGTGTGTCTGTGTGTGGGTGAGTGGGTGTGTGTGTGTTCTCATTTTTGTTAAGAGGCTGAAAAGTAACTTTCTAGAGCATAGACTACCTTCATCTAGTAATGTCGGTCTATTGATTTTGATGTATTGATTGAAAATTGTTCATTATTACCTTGGTTAATTAACATCTAATGTTAACTCTACTGCATTTTATAGCGGTAGGGTAAAATGCTTGTCTTTGTTCAAAAGACTGTATTAACTGTAAAGACTGTCTTTTACATCAGCCTGTTTTCAGGGCCTTTTTTTTTGCCTACATATTTGTTATTTTTTGCTACATGCCTCCCCATCTTCTTGCCATATGTTTCTATGGCATAAATCAGTGTCTGTGACCTGTTTTTATTTTAAAAAAAGAACATTGGCACAAACCTAGCCTGTATGTATTTTTTGTATGTCATCGAGAGTATTTAAATGATTTTCAATCAGAAAAAAAATGTGTGATTAAAATGCGATTAATCGCGAGTTAACTCAGGCATTGATGCGATTAATCGCGATTAAAAAATTTAATCGATTGACAGCACTACTTTAAACACATAACAAAAACAAAAGGGTCTCTTGCTGGAGGAGGCGAACAGCCTAAATGGTGCCGGGTACCGGCCCAGTCCTGGCGACTGCTTCTCCGGGCGTGGCCCCCCTGGGCTCGGTCGGGGCCCCCATTGTGGGGCGGGCAGCTACCCTAAGGCCATGGTCTAATTGCGGTTCCACCTCAGCGTAGCTGGCTGCCGGCGGTTTTTGGCTCTTCACGACCACTATCGAGCCCTTTCCTCACTCAAGCGCACTCTCACAAACACCGACAGGTGCTTAGATCCGGTTACTTAGTTACTCATCAATTTTAATTTTCAGCTACCACTTTACGTATTTCATATTGATTAATACTGCATACTTCAGTGATGGTATCCAGGTGTTGCAGTATTCTATTTTTACTTCTATACCAGTTGGTTGTGCTGTTCGTTTTACATCTGTCTCTGCAGGTGATGAAGCAAACTAATGAAGTTTTGTCCATCTCTATCTTTTGTCCCCTCTTTCTTTCATCTGTTCTCTGTTTTTCCTCTGCTTTTTCAATTTAGTCTCCTTATAACATGAATAATTCCCTACATGAATCATAATAAAATTATTTTATAGTTTTATAAATCAAGCAGCGCACTATAGCGAAAGCGATAATGCTCTACTTGTGAGAGTAAATTCTGTTGGGCTCTTTCTGGCATTAATAAGACAACAATTCTTATTGCCACATTGCTAGACAGGACAAATAAAATAAAGAGCTCTTGAAACTATTGCACACATTTTGAGTCTGACAAGTTTTAATACATATATAGTTTGTGTGAACCATAAAATTAGGGCTGTATTAATGTTTAGGGAGCATGAATAAATAGGATGTTTCCAATGCATTCTTTCTATTGAGTTAAATTTATTTTATAAAAGATACTTTAAACAACACATCCAATTGATCCTCTCTCTAGGTCAAACTGTGGATTCTAATGTTCTTAAACACGATCTAGTTTATAACTGTATGTTTATAAAAAATTATTAATTTAAACGTTCAAAATGAAAGCAAACACAACTTGAAAGTGATATCAGTAACTTTGGTGGTATGTTTTTATAATTAATGTTATATGTTCATATATGTTGTCGTTAGGGTGACAAACATAGACCATGGTGTTAGCTTAGGGGTGCTGGTAGTTTCCTCTACCTGACCTTGCAAAGTGTGTCAGACAGGAAACTTCAAATCTTAAGTTGCATACCTTCAACTCAGACTTGTTTGTTCCAGTCTGGTCAAAGATCATTGCTGTCTCTCAGTTGGACTATTGTTATGTGTTCTATGACATAATGAGGTTAGCAGAACAGCTTGCTGCAAAGTGAATAATCTTTTATGATTGAGGAGTGGAAAGCAACATGGCGAACAAGCTGGATTTTTCTAAATCCAGGCATAAAGATATTTCTAGCTGTGTTTCCTGCCATGCCTCTAAGCAGGCCAAGCCAGACATTTGCCAGAACCTGTAAGATGTCAGAATGGTTAGAAACCCTTCAGCAGCTCGTAGGTTGGAATCAAAAGTAGGCTATGATGTAAACAAACCTCTGCCCTCACCGTCGGGGTTTATGGGAGGGAAACGCTACACCGCCCTGTTTGATTGCACGGCTCGCACTGCAGATGATCTGACCTTTAGCACCCGGGATATTCTGGAGGTCATCGACTACACCACCGAGGAATGGTGGATCGAAAGAACCATGTCTACCAGTGCAAAGGGATGCATTCCTTCTAACTATTTGGCGCCTGTAGAGAGGGTTGATCCTGAACCGTGAGTATTGTCACTTTATAGAAAGCTGCTTTCTAAAGGTGTATTGACACCAGGAATTATTTTATTTGGAGTGGATTAAATTACCAGACAGCCGCACATCTGATAATGGCTATCCCTCATGGATATAAATGACTGTTTAGACCAGAGCACAGATCTAGAAAGAAAGAGAAACTGCAGTGGGAGACATGCATGTTGCACTTCTACATATTTGTGCTATTATCTGCAAAATATTTCAGATTTTTGAATAGCATTGAGAAAACGTGTGCATACTGCAAAATCCTAGGTAGAACCACAGTAAACTAGCAACAGGGTTGCTAATCAACAGACAGTGGATTAGGTTAGTGTCGCTAATGAGTGTTACGCCATAAGCTACAGAGCTGCCAAGTTTCAGAAATCAAGAACAATGAGACTTTAGTTTCATGATGCATTCAGCCCAAAACACTTCAGTTTTTCTACCACCAATTCTCTCACCTCCGTGCCAACTGCTCTAACTGCACTGTCCCCTCCTGACGCTAGTCTTGATTAACCAGAAATTAGAAATAAAACAAGAAGGAAAAAAAAAAGGGGAAACCCATCAGTGCTGGTTTTATATCAGTTCAGTGCATAGGCTGTTCAGGACAGGGGCCAACAGGGGCCAATGCCACTGTAGAACTGGTCCAGACCACTGTCATTTCCCCTGTACTGAAAACACAAAAAGCAAAAATGTAAATATAAGTACGCACATTTTTCTTAAATAAGTGTACTTTTCCTTGATTTAATGAGTTAGACATTTGCAGATGGATTATGGTGGTTTATTTTAAAAAAAGAAAAGAAAAATCTGTTTTATTTCAAATGCATATCATATAATAATCTAATTTTAAGAGCAGAAGTACTCATTTCTCTGGCATCTCAGTCAATTTAGTGGCTCAAATAAAAAGCATTATTTTAAGAAAATTTGTACTTTTTTAAACCAGTTTTCAAAACGTAATTCAAAAAATTATCTAACAGTAAATCAATTTCTTATTATAGCATGTGTTACACGATTCAAAACGGGTGGAAAAAATGTAAACAAATGATTGGTCTTGATGCCTTCTGCTTCCTCTGGGTGGAGGTCCTGTCATGATATGTATGGAGGTTGTTTGAAGACCCAAATGCAGAGTCCGGAAGGCAGAGGTTAATCTTGCAAATTTAATGAAGTAACTGAGGAAAAGTACAAAAATACATAGAACCCAAAAAAACCAAAACATCAGGAAAAACTCACATGGGAAGCCAGAGACGAGGAAACAACAAAACAGCAACAAGGAACAAACGCTGAGTGACTGCAGAGGTGGTGTATATAAGGGGAACAGTACAAAGGATGAGCTAATGAACGTGGAGCAGGTGTGAGTGGAACTAACTAGGAGGAAGCCAAGGGGGCAGCAGATAGTAACTAAAGACTGCTTAGATATAATGGAGAATAAACCAAAGATTAACAAAACTGAATAACTAATAACTGAAAACAAAAAACACAGTCCTAAAAGGGGAGAACCATTACAGGTCCTGAAAACACAAATTAAAACCCCCAGTGAATGAATGACATGGAGCCATCTTCTTCCCCAAATTCTCTTTATCAAAAATTCTGAGAATCATGAATTTTTACCATGAAAATTCCCCAGCTTAATCAATCATCATGTTTTTTTTTTTTTTTGCTTTTTCTAAATGATCCATAAAGCATTGAAAGGGCAGCGGCAATTCCCATTGGACATGCCAGCATCCAAGGGTGGAAGGCTTCAACAATTCTGTTGAAAAGTAACACTACTAAAAATAAAACCTAATCATATTAGCACATTAAATATAGACATAAAATTGCCATGTACATTTTAAGTACTCTTAAGTTGTGGAAAACTGTAAGACTAACTGCAAAACTAAGTTGAACACTGAGGAGCAATTTAAAACCTATAACAAATCTTTAAACTGTGGTTTAAAATATAACTGATTATGTAAAGCTGACAGTAACTTTAAAACTTCCATAAAGTTAAGCATTTTTTTTTTCTCACTCTGATAACATCAAACCATGTGTCAGGATAACACCGTAACCTTAATAAAATTGGATATGGGAGTGTTACCCAACTTGTAGATGCGTGCAACAATTTGTATACATCTTAAATTTGTGCAAGCGCCAGAAATGTTCAAGCTGTATGAAAGAAACCACTCTGTCTCATGCCTATACATATGACCTGAAAATCAGTACTGGCATAACTTATCCCTTTACATTTTGGGAGGAACAGTCTTCATCAGCTTCACACATTGATAAACTGAAAACAGAAATTAAAACCCACAGTGAATGAATGAGGAGCCCCCTTTTAAACCAAACTCTTGCTGAAGTCTAATTTAGTGGCTGCGGGTGAAGATTGTCAGTCCTCCAGGTGCTAGTCATTTCCAAAAAAGTAAAAAGACGACAAAAATCCACTGGACTTCGTTAACATTTCCAGGAAGCTTTTTCAATTAAAATTGAAATAGCAGAATAGCTTAAATAACATAAAGTTAGAGACGTTATCCAGCAGCCAAACAAAGCCTTGTTTTTGTTTAGAAAACATGCAAATAGAAACAGTCAACGTTTCTATTTGCTCCACCCCTTTGGAATGGGGGTCGTTTGGCTTCTTTGTTAGCCTGCAACGCCCCATACCTGTCTATCTGTCTGAAAAGGGCGGTTGTTAAAGGGAATTGTTGGCCTGGCTGAATAGGCGAAGGGCTTGTGTACCGACTGGAACTGTTACCCGACTACTGAACTACTGAGTCTGGCTCCAATTGTCCAGCCTGTCAGCCACACTGTGTATGGTACCTGCAACTATGACTCTGTCCTGGATTCTCCCTTGGCGCCTCACCGGATCTCTGAACTCCTGGCTCTGACAACCAACCACGTCACTGACATCGGCTTTGGCTTTGTCCTCTGGATTATCCCGCCTAAATTCATCTGCTCACTTCTGAAATCCTGTCTGTCCTCCGACCACCGATACATCTGTGTATGGGCCTCTAGACGTGTTTTCTAACCTATTGTCTCGACCCATAGAAGTTCCTGCCTTAGATGCTGCTTACTCTGATTCTGTTGTCCATAAACTTTCTAAGGTATCTGTTTGTCGGCCTTGAATACTGGAGCCTTCAGTTCTGAGCCTGACAAATGGTCTAATTTTTGAGTTTGCAGGATCATTTGAATTTACTGTGAAATCCTATATTTACATGTGGTTTGTATTCGTCAGCCAATAAAATGAATGGCTTAAATAAATAAATTAGATTATAATGAAATATTTTACTATTTTAGTATACTTTGTCCTGTTACTTTAATGTACAAGTATAAAGCATTTACACAGGTTGAATTTTCTAACAATTTAACAAAATACTTAGGATTATTTTTTAAATACCGTAACAGATTTTAAATAATCAGATGTATATATACTTTTTTTTGGCTTGCAGATGGTATTTACCAGAGATTAAGCGGCGGGATGCAGAGAGGTTGCTGTTGTCTGAGGGCAATAAGCAAGGTGCATTCCTCATTAGAAACTCTGAATCTTTCAAAGGAGAGCTCTCTCTCTCAGGTAAGCAAATCTAAGTGCAGTTTATATTAGCTTGATCTTCAACCCTATTGTTAGTTGGCTCTGGTTTGTAAACACATCATTAACTTGGCTTTTTAGCTTTATTGGAAAATATTGAATTATTTTATATTTATTTTATAGTTCATTGCCAAGTTGTGTCTTACAGATATGAAGAATATGCTTAAAGGTTATACCCATGGACAAAACACAGTTCACATTAATAGATTCAAAAAGGTATGATTTGGAGTAATAAATGCAAGTTGTATGGGAATAAAAAGAAAATAGTGAAAAAGTGCACCTTTCTGCAGAGAAAGAGCACAATGACAGATTTAAAATATGCAGTAGCATTAACATGAGAGGAGATTAAACTTTGAAAAGGAAAAAAAGGTTAGCTTGGGGCCAATACTTTGTTAATTAAGGCTGGCGGCAGAGGGGAAGAAGGTATTTTTGTGGAGGGAGGTTTTGGGCTCGATGGACTGCAGTGTCCTGCCAGTATTAAAACCATAAAGTAGTTTGTGTCCAGAATGAGAGTGGTAAACTGTAGTCTGTCCTGATTGCCTCCGAGTCCTGAGGCAAGCAATTCCTAGAGAGGAAGGAGATTGCAGCTAAAGCTATCCCAGAAATGTCCCTCATTAATGCGTCAAAAGATGAAGACGAAAGAGATCATTGTGAACTTCAGAAAAAACGGCCTAGCCACGCTCCACTAGTCATCAACATTTTTGTGTTTTCAAACTTGTTTTTATTATTATTATTTAAAAAAAAATCATACATTCTTGTATTGTTTTTCAGTTTTGCACCGAGGGAGGGTAAAACATTACAAGCTCCAGAAACAGGATGATAACTACTTCCTTTCTAGGAACAAGTCCTTCCCAACATTGAAGGCGTTTGTGGAATATTACTCCAGACAGTCTGATGTGCTGTGTGTCTGTCTGGGGGAGCCGTGCAGAAAGGTAAACTGTAGCATGCCGGAACATGGACCCTTTTTCCTTTTTATTTAATTGTTAACTTTTATGTTGTGCAGATGGAGGATCCACAGACCTATGGTCTGGCCTACAACACAGCGGATCCGTGGGAGATTGATCGCAGTTCTATCAAACTACTAAGGAAAATTATAGACGGACTGTTCGATGAGGTCTTTGAGGGGGTGCTGAATGGTACTACACCAGTCGCAGTGAAGACACGAAAACCTGGTATGGGATAATAATCACACATTTATATAATTATGGACCATTGTTAAGCTAAATACTTGAAGTATACTGACAAGGTTATTTTAGATTTTATGATAAAAAAAAAGAAACCTTTTTATCATAAAAAAAAAAGATTAAATGGCAGAGGGGCGACAGTGGCGTTGAATGCAGGAGTTTGGCCTGCCCTGGGTTTGGCTTTCGTTGTCGTTGTCTGTAGGACAGACACTTCATCCGCATGGGTGTCAAAGGGCCCGGTGGCGTTTGTTTATTGCAGCCAAGGTTCCGCCAGTGAGCTGTGGCTACAGCTTAGAACAAACAAGGAATCAGGGAAACAACAGAAGAATAGAAGAGCATTCAACCCAAAGCAGATAGACTTGGAAACAGCATCTTTCCCAAAGCCATGAAGCCAGTCTTCCCCCTGCCTCTGACACTCAAATTGCATCTCACATTTACATAGATACACACACTACTACCGTACTTATACAAATACAAGATCACATAAACAACAATTCAGCAAATTAAATAGACCACAAGTTTAATTCAAAGATGTTGCATTTCATTTAAATAACATTTGCTACATTTCTATTTGGAATACCCTTTCCAAATAGCTAAATAACTAACTGGAGGGTTATACAGGTTTAAATTACAATGGACCGTGCCCACATAACTTTTCATCTACACACCAACATGAAGTAGAGTAGGGTTTCTGCATCGATAAAGTTTAAGTGATCGGTTAGTGTTCCAAACTTTTCAAACAAGGTACATTTTAATATTTTAGCTGGTATAGCACAGCTCAGACTGGTACACATTGTATATTGGATTCCAAGGATGTTTATATCTTTTACATGTGTTTCTAATTTTCTTATTAATGTTATTTAATATTTATTACTTTTTGTTTTAATTTTTTTTTTTTTTTTTTTTTTTTTGAGAGTCTCATCTAAGTATGCTGGTATTTCTTTTGTTTGTAGCTGTCTTCTTTTTTTCTTCTTTTTCCAAGCTTACTATTTATCTAAAAGACATAAGATATGTTAACTGTTAAATGGAAAATTCCATGTTTGTCAAAGGTTTCATCAGCTGTTGTTCATGAATTGTTGGCTAAATTTTAAACAGGTGTTTCTGATAACAGAATGAGCAAAAAGAGGCTATATCTAGGGTGACCAGATTTGGTTTCCTGAAAAGGAGGACGGGGGAAGCTGGTGTCCAGACTAACGTCACTGCAAGGGAGTTACTTTGTGATGAAAGTCGGTCGGGACACCCTGGGTGGTGACCTATAGACCTACAGTTACACTTTCATCCATCCATCCATCCATCCATTTTCTGACACGCTTAATCCCAAGCGCGGTCACGAGGGGTGCTGGTGCCTATCTCCAGCTGTCTAAGGCGAGAGGCGGGGTACACCCTGGACAGGTCGCCAGTCTATCACAGAGTTACATGAGCTCAAATATCTATTTATTGAATGTTTTCCTATTTTTGAGAACACAAGACCAAAACACACAGCTATATGTATTTATATATGTAAAGATGCTAGAGAGATGCCTTTTAGTGCATTACAAATATAGGGCCCAAAAACATCAATGCATGAAACAAATAATTATTAGGAGCCAAATCCAATGCCATAATTGATATATCATGCATCCCAAAAGCACAATTTCAATTCCACCCAGAAAACAAAAATGGATATGCTGCATTTTAAATATTGCAAATATTTTTTTTTTCTTCATATAAACTCTCTGGTAAACTTGGAGATATATTTTATTGCATGTTGCATATCCCAGTAAATCTGTTTTGCCTTTAAATCTGCAGCTCTCCCTACTTCTCTCTGTGCTCTTTTTAAATGACTTATGAACCTCTTTAATAATATAATGATGCCAGAAACAAAATTTCAAGATATGTAGAAGCTCTGCGGTCCGATTCTGTCTGTTCACTAAGAAAACATGTTAATTTTAACCTGTGACTGGAAGTTATGTTCCTCTGTGAAGCTAAGATTTTTTTAACTGGTAAAGAAGAAAAAACTATGTTTTCTCAAGCTTCTTGCGTTATAATACTAAATTGATTAAACTTACAATCTGTTGCCATTTTCAGCTGAAAAAGCTCTGTATGTCTAACTAACTGATTTTTTTGGTGGCATCTCTAATTTTTTTAACCAACCCATCTCCTAAGTGTTACCTAAGTGTCTATTGAAGTAGCTGCTGGTTAATATTCACTGAGTGCTATCACACCGAGAAGCAGGGCATGGGAGCAGTGTGAGAGAAAAAAAAAAACAGACTCAAAATGCTCGGAACACAGATAGTGGTTGCTGCCCCTGGATTGCTGGGGTTCCAGCCCCGGTGCTGACGGCTCGGTCCCGGTGTGTTTCCACTACGTGCTGCACTGTATTCAACCAAAATCCTGGACGATTTTGAAATTCCCCCTGGACATTTTTTTAGGTATGAAAAGCAGGACATGTCTGGGTAAAAGAGGACGTTTGGTCTCCCTACTTTATCTAAAGAACACTACTATGGACCTTGTCTTTAACTTCTGTTTGCCTATAACAGGTGTAATCCGAGCTGGAGTTCTCCCAAAGTTTTATTATTGCTGTTGTGCCAAAAACCATAATAATAATAATAATAATTGTGGACATTGAGAACCAATGTCCATCTTTCATCTTCACATGATAACTGGGGAGGAGAATGCATTTGCTCATAAAACAGCTGTGAGATCTCTCTTCTGTGCTCTGCAACCCCCTCTCAGCCAACTTGCTCCTGATGTCTATTCGCTGCTAGCTATTTCGAGGAGGGTAAAGAATCATTTAAGTAAAGGTTTTTGGTTCTTGATTGAGTAAATCCTTCAATAAAACATTATTTGGCCAAATAATGTTTTATTGACCTCATGGATTTGCATTCTGAATTGGTCTAAAAAAAATTCCAATTTCTTTAAATTAGTGAAAAGCTAATTAGATCATATCCCAAATTCTTCCAGATAAACTTTGGTTTCAAACACAAGATCCATCTTAAACTGTAATGGCGTCCAAGCTGGCTGGGGATTGAATATAAACAGTTATTCACAACATTGCTAAAACACAATGAAAAGTCTTTTCTGGATTTGAGAATCAATTGCTGGTGGTCTAAAATGTTTAAATTTGTTTATCTGGAGAGGAATGTTACTGCAGTGTTGTGTGGTGGAGGACTTGTTAAAGACTTAAGTAAAATTTCTGGAAATAATGTATGTTATCAATATTAGAATAATAGAATCCAGTATTTGAGGCGGACAAACAGTAAGCTTTCGCCAAAACACTTATTGGAAAAATAAGTAAAGTGAGCAGCGTTGGCTTCTTAGTTAGGGACTTCTGCGGGTGGAGACAGCAGGTTAGTGACCACATCTATCTGGAAGTGGATGATAAAAAACATGTGAGTCACTAACCTGGTCTTATAGTTCAATCTGAGCCCAGAGGGTTAAGTCGGTTCCAGCTGGTCGGCTGCCAATGTGGCGCAATGGTTGCTGCACATAGAATTCCAGACACTGATGTATTGTGGTAAGAGGACAGGCAGGAAATCAGAACCGAGCAGACAAATGTAGGCAGGATAATCCCGAGAGCAAAGCTGATATTGGTAACATGCTCAGTTGTCAGAGCCAGGATATCCAGTGAGGTGCCGAGGGAGAATCCAGAAAGGATTCGGGGTAACCGGTCCAGGTACAGTACACAGACAGGTAGGTATCCGGCAGGAGTCAGAAGACAGGTCAGTCCAACAGATCAGACGGAAACAGGCAGGGTAAGAGGTTGAGACACAGAGAAAATCAGGATCAGGTAACCAGAATACAGGTAAGCTAGAGAACTTAGAAAATAATGTGGCACTGATGACTGGTCTGAAGGCTGGTTAAATAGAGTCTAGTACAGGTGGATCAGATAGGCAGTAATGAGAACTGGGTGGAGCTAAGAAGGTGTGTGAAATGAGCAATCAGACCAGGCATCGATGCTGAGATCATGACAATTATACTGATATAGAACAGTTAGTATTGATTACTTTCCTGTCTTGCCGTGAGAATGAAAAAGTAAAAATATTTCAAATCATTTGAACATTTAGGACTTTATTCTAAATAGGAAATATAGGAAAGTAAATCAACAACAACAATAAAGTGGCTTTTTCAGGTACAATGGATGCTGCAGAATTCCTGGCAGAGGCTCAGCTAATGAAGAAGCTGCGGCACCCTAAGCTGATTCAGCTGTATGCTGTGTGCACCTTAGAGGAACCAGTGTACATAATCACAGAGTTGATGACGAATGGATGCCTGTTGGAATACCTCAGAAGTAAGTTGTACACATTCTAATTCAAACCTCATGCTCAACTTGCACCTAAAGAGCTTCTGATCATTCTTAAAAAGAGATTGTAGAATTTAGGTCATAATTTGATTGATATTTACCACGTAATGCTACAGGTAACTTAAGAAAAGGAATTTGGTTTGTAAAGTATATACATAGGTGGATTCAAAAGTATTCTCTGTTAAAAAGTTTTGAATGCCATGCATGACCTTAATGGCTTATAGGTGTTATAAAGTGTGGTACTAGTATTACCAAATGGAAATAGCACGAGCCTCTTGACAGTGCCATGTTGATACTTCAAATAAAAAAATAAAAATATATAGAAAGACCGGTGGACAGTTAATGGTCTTTATGATTAATGACATCCACCCTCATAATGGCTCATTAATTACTAAAATGGTTTAATACTCATAGAACCTGTTGCAATGCCTAAACACCATATTAAAATTGGTTTAAATCATTGCTATTAAAATAAATGTTTGAATAATGGACACTATTACAGTTCAAACCCTGTGGCCAGCACCACCAGCTGCATTTTTCTTATCAGATATTTGGACATTGTTGTAAAACAATGGCTGATCTTTAAACAGAAAACTTAAACTGTTACTGATTCTGTTCATGTTTTTCTATCTTGATAACAGAGGACAAAGGGGCCTCTCTCTGTATCACACACCAGATTGAAATGGCCGCCCAGGTGGCATCAGGCATGGCTTACTTGGAGCAACAGAACTACATCCACAGAGACCTGGCTGCCAGGAACGTACTGGTGGGAGAAAATAACGTCTGCAAAGTGGCTAATTTTGGATTGGCAGAATTTTTAAGGGTAGGTTTTAGATTTGAAATTTGACTGTAACTAATTTGGCTGAAACTAACGGTTTGGTTTGCAAAGACTTCACAATGGCTTTTCTCCATTACACCATATTTGTGCTGAAAGTGGCTTTCTTTGGGTTTGTTTTACATTTAAAATCTCTCTCTTTTTTTGTGTGTGTTTGGTTGTAACAGAAAAATGAGAATGTTTACGAGGCCGAGGAGGGGACTAAATTTCCTGTGAAGTGGACCGCTCCAGAAGCTATCCACGATAACAAGTTCAGCATCAAATCAGATGTTTGGTCCTTTGGAATCTTACTCTATGAGATCATGACATTTGGTCAGATGCCTTATCCAAGTAAGACTTCTGCTGTAAAATCATTTCATTTCAAAATCATACATCATTCATTCGTGCTCTCTTCGTCCTCTGACATGGGAGCTGGCTCGGAGCTCGTCTGCCTGGCTGGGTGTTTCCTGGACGGGGCCGCCTTTTACAGCTGCTTTCTGTGTCTCTGCTTCTGTCTCCTTGAACCCCAGTCGGCCTCAGCAGATGGCCGCTCACACTGAGCCTGGTTCTGCTGGACGTTTCTTCCTGTTAAAAAGGAGTTTTTCCTCTCCACTGTCGCTACAAGCATGCTTAGTGTGAGGGATTGCTTAAGAGTCAATGAGTCGATGCAATCAACTGGCTTTCCTTAGAAAGAAAACTTTGGATCAATCTGACTGGATGATCTGGTGAACTGGAAAGTGTCTTGAGATGACATGTGTTGTGAATTGGTGCTATAGAAATAAACTGAATTGAAATTGAATTGAATTTGGACCAGCACATCAGTTCCAGCTTTTTGTTGTTGTTTTCCAGACATGAAAAACATGCAGGCGGTGACTTGGATCAGTAAAGGTAACAGGATGTCCTGTCCAGCGAACTGCCCGAAACCACTGCACAACATCATGTTGGACTGTTGGAAGGAAAAAGAACAGGAGCGCCCAACATTTGAGACGCTGCAGTGGCAACTGGAGGAATACTTTGACATGGAGGATGAGAACCCTTATTCTACTTCTCTCTACTAAAGCAAATACTCGCTTCTTTGCTCTAATAGCAATGGATGACGGATATGAAAGTGAAACTTTGTGAATAATACTCACTTGATTTAGCAATAATAGCCACATTACTGAAAGCCCCACCTGGTGGGGATGTTAGGATATTAAAATTGAAAGCTCTGTTCAAGGATAAATACCCAACACTTTCAATACCATGGTAATTATTTTCTCTTTATGGAAAATTTGTTTATTTGTCTGGTTGAGAACGACGAAATATGATTTCCAATATGAAAAACATAATTTCAATCTTAATAATTAAAGTAATAGATAATCAATTTAAAAAAATAAGTAGATCTAGATCTTTGGCTGATCAAAACTGTCAGTAAAAAGTCAAAGGTGAATAACTCTAGAGGGTTTATTGTAGGTAAAAAACTATGAAGGTGTTACAGAAAAAAAGCATTAATTTATTTAATCCAGTTAAAGAAATGAGATCTATGGTAATCATTCGGTTAGCACTTCATTTGTCTTTGCAAAGAAGAGAACAAGAGAATCATACCAGCTTTCCCAGTTCAATGTTCTCACCTTTTCTGGTCTTACAATGTTTTTCTAAGTGAATTCAAAAGCCTCGGTTACGCTTTGGCCTGCTTTGCTTCATCCGGCCCAGGGTATCTGCATCTCTACAGGGTTCAATTATATATCAAGACTATGACATTGGGATTCTATAGACTTACAAAGGTTCTTGTCCCAAAACACCCTGCACTAAAATCCCCTAGAAACAGCTAAGAGGAAAACACTGGACTATTCTGAAGTGGTGGGCCCTTACCTAAATCCCACTGATAAACTTTGAAAGGAGTTAAATCGTGCCATCTGGAAAAGTCAGCCTTCAAACATGGGACAACTGTTCATGAGGAATGGACCAAAATACCTGCAGAGAGCAGCAGAAGTCTCATTGACAGTTACAGGAAACGATTGATTGCCGCAAAGTTAGAGCATTAAAGTATTCGGTTAAGGGTGCCATCATTTTGGTCCAGGCCTGTATCACAAGTGTGTTTTTTCAAATCATTCTTTTGATGTATGGTTGAAGAACAACTTCTTAGTCTAATTTCTTCCTTTTTATAGATTTTTTAAAAACATTTTTTTTTATCTATTAACACTTTTTTTAGATTCAAGTTATTTCTGTGCCCATTGTGGTTTCATGAAAGGTGGGGTACCAAAAGTTTTGTCCACATGTGTATATACTTTTGAAAATGTTTGTAAATGGGAAAATTAAAAGAAATGTGTTTCCAAATGTCACCAAGGTTACCTGGTTATGTATAACCAGTGAATTCCACTCCCCTGATCACTGGTCTTGGATGTGCTGAAATATGTTCAGTATTGAAGAGACGATCTGCCTTGACCACCTCCATCCATGTTCATCTCATGTGTGAAAAAAAATGGAGTTCAGTATGCAAAACCCCAATGTAAAAAAAAAAGGAGGGAAATCTGGGTGCACTGTAAGTAGTTGCCATTCAAAATTATGAATACTTCCACCATAATGAACTTTTTGAAGAGTTTCAGTCTGGCTTTAGAGCTCATCATAGCACTGAAACAGCTCTGGTGAAAGTCACTAATGATATTCTCATGGCCTCAGATAATGGACTTGGATCTTTGCTCGACCTGTTGGATCTCAGTGCTGCATTTGATACAGTTAATCATAATATTCTTATAAAAACATTTTGTGGGAATTAAAGTTAGCAGCATTAGACTGGTTTAAATTTGATCTTTTTGACAGATTTCAGTTTGTTCATGTTAATGAATACTCTTCGTCGTGCTCCAGGGTTACCTGTGGAGTACCACAGGGATCAGTGCTAGGACCAATTCTCTTTACTATATGTAGAGTAGTAGCCATTCAAAATTTCCCAATTTTCCTTGATTGCTCCTTGGCTGGTACTTGACTGTTCCTCTACAATTCCTCAAACTCAACGCTATTTCTGACATTTTTAATTGAAAAAAGCTTTCTAGATGGGAAGGGAAACGTCTTCAAACTTGGAAACAAAGTCCAGTGGATTGTTTTTAACTTTCTTTTTTTGGAATGACTATGAGCTGGATGACTGAGAATCTTCACCAACATATTCCTTTTTAAACAAGGACCATTTTGAATGGCTGCTACTGTATTGGTTGAATTATTAAACAGCATAGGATTCATTTCACTGTGATGCTGATGATACCCAGCTATATCTGTCTATAAATCCAGATGAAGCTAACCCATTACATAGATGACAGGCATGTCTTGAAGACATAAAAACCTGGATGACTCTTAACTTTCTTACCCTGAATGCAGACAAAACAGAGAAATAAGCTGATTAGCCAGTCACTTCATTTGGATGGGATTTGTCATGGGAAAAAGGTATTGGACTGTTCACTACAGTTAATTGAATGGAGATAGATGGATTTTCACTCAATCAGCATTTTATTTAATCTTTGCAAAGAGAGAACAAGACATCATACAACCCTTATTGCACAGCGTTGTTCTGACTAGCCTAAGTTTGTCTCTCCTTAATTAACCCCTTCAGGTCCCTACGCTTCTCTACCCAAAGCAAAAAACAGACAGTGTAAATATAAAAGTACCATTTTTAAAACTACTTAAAGTATAAAAGTAGAAGTAATGCAGAAAAAAATGTTAAGGACAGTAGCTTTACTGCACTATTCTATTAAAGGAACATTTTTCTACTGTTCTGGATGATAACTACCTTAGACTTCCTTTTCTTAGTTTTATAACTAATGGTAACAGTGTCAAATTTGACTTTGCATCATCTGGAAAAACTATTTATTTTGGTATGTGGTGAACAACAAGTTGGGGCAGCACCAAGTCCAAACACAAAGTTATTAAAATTTATATTAATTCTCTCTAACTAAACCATTATGTTGATTTTTTTAACACCAACAGGCCATAACAAAAATCATCTTAAATGAAACAAAACTAACGTGTCTATTTTTAAAATGTAAGGAGTATAAAGTTAAAAGCTGAATAAAAAAATAATTTCTCCAGTAAAGTATAAATACATTTCTACTTAAGGTAATGAAGTATTTGTACTTTATTACGTGACACCTCTGTATGATTCATTTACAAGTAATCCTCTGGACTGATTAACATTCTATGCAGTTTAATGAAAAAAATCTGAATTCTTTTCCAGGTTTATGACTTGAAGCCTTTTCAACATTTTATTTCCAAATTTAAGGACTAATGTTAAATCATCAACTCGAGGTGATTAAACTACATTAATGTAGTTTCTCCAAATGGCCACATGGAGGTGCTGGTACTCTGCCCTGGACTCAACAAGGGACTCAATAAAGGCATTTCTTTCTGGAGAAAACTTATAAACCTATTTATATCAAAGCCATCATTGACAGTGTGGAGTGAGCGGGATCCAGTCTTTAATTTGCACATCAGTAACGTATTGAAGAAACAATGATTAAATATTTGTTCAGAAGTTAACATCCAGATTTCTAGACTGTGCCATGAAAGCCAGCATATTAACACATCCCTGCAGTAGGAGTCCAATACCAGAAATAATATTATAAACACAAATTACTGGTAAATTTACTGGTTATTATATATAATTTCATAGATGATTTGTAGCTGTTGCCTTTGTTTTTAGAAGAATGCTCCAAAATAAGAACTTCTGCACCTTGGTGTCAGATCAACCAAGCTACTTTCACATCCTTAAGTCCTAAAGCATGCAGGGACTCCTCTGCACTGTCTAGTTTCTAACTTCTGTATCTTAGCAGAACGGTAAGTACATGTCTACATTAATAATCAGCCTGCTTTGATAATGAGTATTTGTATCAAATTAATTAACAACAGTTAATTAGGACACATTTCATAGATCTATTTTGTTGATGTATATTTAAAAATTATATAACATTGTTTTGACTAAGAAACAAACTTTCTCTCAAATATACTAGTGTTTTATATGTTGATGAAGGGTCATTACATTGCTTTGTGTGCTGAATAAATAAATAAATAAGCTCCAACATTCTTATATATTTTAAGAACTTTAGCTTTGCTGCAGATTTTAATTGCATTTTTTAAAAGTGGTTTTCTAGAAGCAGTAGCACCAATTTGACCTGTACCATCCATCTGTGTTTCTGTCACATAATGATGTCTGGAAGGCTGAAGTCTTTCCAGATTCAGCAGTCTGAGGTCCCTCTCCCACCCATGATAGTGTCCTTAAGTGTTCACCCTATGAAACCTGAGGAAGAGGATCAAGGAATAGAAGATAGGAGTTATGATTTACACTATTGAGTTCAATAGATGTTTATTCTGCTTCTGTGTTATAATTACTAACAAACCATTTTTAGTGCATTCACACCACCAGCTGAAATATCTCTCTAGATCTGCCAAGGCAGAAATATAGAGATATCACATTCCAAGTGGTTACAAAAATGAAGAACAAACAGCAATCATTTTTAACATTTTAGAGCTAACTTGACATAAGGACCTTGAACAGTCTGAGACCAGGATGTGTGGGGTCAGCAGAGATGTAGACAAGTTAAAGATGGAGGAAAGGACAGTCCCAATTATCGTCTCTGTAGACCTAGCTGTTCATTACAGTTTGGACCAATTGCAATGGGTTTAACCTTACAGATGTCTATCTGCATAAAACAGAATGAATGATGATGATGATGATGATGATGAAGAGGTGGAAATGAACTCCTGTTGATGGTTTTACTTCTTAAAAGTAAACCATCTATTAACAACAAGAAATACAGTTTCCTGGGGACCTTCTTCAGAGAACACTCAAAACCTTAACTTATGTTGCCAGTGATGATAGTGTGGAGGTGTTAAGTGTGAAAAGGATTAGTGAGAGCACAGTCCCCTGTGGTGCTCCTGTAGTACCGACCACATGGTCGTTCTGGAAAACTGTGATCGGTTATTGGTGATTATAATCCGTTAAAGCTTTGCTATCCTTTGTCCAGGTTACAGGGGATTTAATTGATTGATTTCTAAGCACCAACAATATACAGAAGAAGAGAAAATGTAAAGAGCCTGTGGAATATTACTCAAAAACAAAAAACACCACTGTCATTGCTACATCCAAGCATTCAGAAGAAGGATTTGTGCATTAATCAGCAGTAAGCAATGAAGAGAGGAAAAGGAGGAAGGAATTCAGACAGTAACTTTCCTTTAAGTTAATTCAATTCAGTTTATTTCTATGGCACCAATTCACATCACGTCATCTCAAGGCACTTTACAGTTCACCAGATCATCCAGTCAGATTGCTTCAAAGTTTTCTAAGGAAAACCAGTTGATTGCATCGACTCATTGACTGAAAGGCAATCCCTCACACTAAGCATGCTTGTAGCGACAGTGGAGAGGAAAAACTCCCTTTTAACAGGAAGAAACCTCCAGTAGAACCAGGCTCAGTGTGAGCGGCCATCTGCTGAGGCCCACTGGGGTTCAAGGAGCAGAGATACAAAAGGGGACTAGTACAGTAGTAGCCATTCAAACTTTCCCCACTTTCCTCGATGGGTCCTTAGCTGGTCCCCTACAGTTCCTTTTTAAACATCAATCTCTGGCTAAAGTATTCTTTCTGTCATGATTTGCTGGCAAGATTAAGATCTAAAGCAAAGCGCCATCTTCTGGTCAGACCCTATAATTCATTGAAAGAGTGACTGAGTATGCATGCCCAGGAGAAGGCCAGTGGCTGGAAGTTGGAGGGGATTTGTCTGGGAGTTGCAGGGCAGTGGGCTGCTATTCAGCTGGCTTTTGACTGGGAATAGCCATTTTGAATGAGACAGACAATGGGAATGTTAACTGTCATGTGCGGATAGCTCCCAAAAGACACAAAGAATAATACAGTCCAGGACTATGGAGACTAAAATCAGAGATATCTGAAAGTAGTTTTTTTGCTCGGCACATGTCGTCCAAGACCAATGTTTGTTCACCTTATTCTATGCATTTGTTTTGTAGCCATGACACTCCAGTCCATGTCTGTGGTGAATTTAATAGATAATGTAGCTAATTTGTTGCGCCTTTGACTGTGTCAAAACACCAGAAGTTATTTAAAAGTCACATCATATATTATATATACTGTAAATATATGTAATATTTCTCCAGCCCTAATTGAAATTAATCACCAGTAAGGTTCTAGGTTTCAGATTTATGCTGTAGTCTGTAGAGAGAGAGAGTTACAGTCGATGTTACAACATCACTGCCTCTGTATAGTTAAAGTAGCTCTTGCTGCAAGCTGTATTCATTGCCTTCATAAACAGGCTGTTAAGAAAGCAGCAGAAAAAGCCAACATGATTCTGGATTAGAATTTATTCAGAACCCTGAAACCTTCACAAGCCTTTTCCATTTCACAGAGTCAAAGTATCTGCATAATGTGGATAATAAACAAGCAGCAGCAGCGCGTAATAACCCATCTTATTCTTAGCGTTTCAGCCCGATCCTCTTCCATTAGAAGCTCAATTTTTTCCTCGTTTACTGTAATGCCTTGTCATAAAAAGAGTTATTACATTCAGACTATGGCTGAAAAGCCATAGCCTGCCTCTACGAAACAAAACAAGTGGATTGGAGAGAATAATTCAAACAATTTCCTCATGTCTGCAGAAAAGCAACTGCGGTTTGCTAAATCCTTTGGCAGCCAACAAATTAACAGAGTTAATTCCCTCATTCAGGGAGACATGTCCACATTCTGAATACGCTCTGACTCATCTGCACTATCCAACATGATTGACTTGGTTTAAAATGGGTCA